CGTAAGGCTACTGGGACCAGCACAGTGCTGGTCCCAGCCTCCCCTACTGCCCCTGTGGTAGCTAGCTGCACGCCAAACCACATGTGGTACAGGCATTCCCCGGGGACAAGGAACTGTGGTGCAAGGTGCGCTGCTACTAGTTGTCCCCAGGGAATCAAGTGTCTACACATGTCTGGATGTGCCCCTGGGGTTCCTTCCAAACCTAATTTTCTATAATTCTGTGATAAAGGGGGATGATAGATCTAGGGCAGCATCCATTCCTCCATATTCTTGCCTAGGTGTATGCACTGAAGGTCTTGGTGTGAACCTCTCGTGGACCTCTTGCATGTACACCATGATCCAGAGGATCAACAATTGCCATACATAAAGGAAGCGGGAGTGCTAGGATAGTGTCAGTGTAGCTTACCTAATTTACATTATTCTGATTGCTAAGTATTTTTAATGCACTCCTGTCGTGAGGGAAGAGGTGGGATGAGGGATGGGGAAATAATATTTGACCTTTGTTCCATACAAAATCGACCCAGGAGAGCTGCGTGTAAGTATCTCATCCCTACACTACCTAGTATCTGTTGGCTGATATTGGCATAGTGAGGGTGATTAAATCAGCTGGGTGACTTGCTTTTTCTGTACACTGAGGGACAGGTGAGTTTGAAGGGAGGCCTTAGCTTTTGACATCCCTGTATCTTCAGTGTGTCAAGCTGCAGCATTTCAGTTTCCTTAGCTGTTCATGCAGGCAGCATTTAAATAATGCAGGAGCAGCACAGATGCCAGAGTGCTCACTCTGAGGCTGGTTTCATCTCTGGTTTCTGACACAAAGAGAATGACAAAATGAGCTGTTAAAATGCTTTGGCTTTTGTCTCCTCCTCTTTCCCACACTCCCATTACAGAGAGGTTTGTAGTGGAACTAAATCATTATTTATATGAAACATTTCCAACTGATGCAAGATTCTGCCCGTGTTGTCAGTTCTTGAGCATCATGGACTAGTACATTAACAAGGCCATCCTTTCTTTGTTTTGCTGGCTCGTGTGGGTGTATTAGAGCCAGTCTGGCATGTCACTTCCAAGGGATTATCTGCCTAGTGGCAGACGTGAAGCCTTTAATACTTGAAGCAATTACAAGTGCATAGTCCATAGCTCAGATGCAGTGGAGCCATATGGCCAAGGGCACAGTCTTTAACCAAAACAAAGGATAATAGCTGAACTGTGGTTAAAGAAGAAATGCTCAGATCACTAGTGGCAATATAGGAAGGCTTAAATGCTCATCTCTGTGCCCTCGTTTAAGGAACCCATAGCTCCAGTATCTTTGGTGTAGCTGGTTCATTACAGCTCCAAAGAAAAGTGCATTCTGACCCTTCTATCTTCAGTTCTGTGGTGCCCCCTGCTTTGGACTGTATTGCATCTCTGACAGAAAAATATGAATATATGCACTTACCTGAGCTGCCTTTCTAGTGGTTCCCAACCCAGGGATCATAAATGCCCGTTTGGAAGTGAGTCAGGCAGGTGTGGATAGTTTATCTAGGATTGAAGAATAATTTAAAGCCTTTCAGATGATGTAAAGTCAGGTCGAGGTGTTAATTACTAGAAACCACTCAGCCCTGAGGTTATAGCCTTCATTTGGCAAACCTTTTCAGCTAGCTGATTCCTTCATGGCATGCACCTCCAAGTACAGGAAATTCTCTGACTTCTTAGGGAATGAATGAGAAATGAATCTGCTTGACGGGCCTGGCTGCTTCCTACTTTTATGCCATTTTTCCAACAGAGGAAACTAGAAAACTCTCAGATTTTTCTTTGGCCCAGGTGCAGAGAAGGGATAGAGAAAAGTATTACACCTGTGCAGTGAGTGGGTGAGAATCACGCTATGGTACCAGCAAGGAGAGTTAGGTCAGAACAGTCAAGTCAGCTTTACTTGGTGAAAAAAAATTAGTAGCATTTTTTTGAGATGCCCGTTGCTTGTGGTTGTGTTAGGAGTGAGAATTTGCCTGCATAAAAAAATATAAATGAAAAGGCTTCGTACCTCAAGGGTGCCTTCATATTTATATGGCAAGCCGCCAAAGCTCTACATGTAGAAAATTGTTCCGATTGTGAGTGTTACTCAGCAAGCAAGAGGTGGTATATGGGGGTGCCATAGAGGGTTGTATGTCAGATAGAGTGTATATTTTATACAGCTCACCATGCTGCAGTTCCTGGGGAGCAAAGGGGGGGGGGGTGTGGGGTGGCATTATGTAATTCACACTGTTACAGTTGTGCTGTGCTGCTTTTGAGAACTGAGATTTTAACAGCGGAGTGGGGTCTGCTCCCTCACTGCAGAAACATAGGGATAAAAGGCAGATGGAGATCACTTTGACAGCTGAAAAAGGCTGCCAGAGCAAGAGGAAGTTGCTGGGATGGAAGGAAAAAGTGCTTGGGCAAGGAAGCAGTTGGCTGGTACTGTCAGAGAAGGGGAGGGGGAGCAATAGTAGTGCATTAGAAATAGTCCCCCATACAGGAGAACAGAAAGTAAAATTTGGCATTAAACCAAAGTACAGCATGAATGAAATGAAAGATTTTTAAACTAGAGTATATCATAAAGTTCTTGCTGTCTGTGGGCAGTGAATTCAACAGGCTAATTACACATCGATTCTGCAGGTTAATTATATATTGTGTTAAAAAACTGTTGGTTCTAAATCTCCTGCCTTTAAATTTGTACTTAACCTCTGCTTTTTCTTGTACAGTGCAGAGGTAAATAGGAATGTCAGCTTTCCTTTTTTTTAATTCAGTTGTTGCTTTGTATACTTTTGCCACCTTTTATTTAAGGCTCTTTGATGCCGGAATTCTAAGTTCTCTGAATAAAAATAATCAATCCTGATGATAGAGAGTACTTTGCTGTCAGCATGACCTTTTCATTCTCCAAGATGCAAGTATTCCATATAGCGATATACATCTGGTCGTCTATAAATAAGTACTGCAATAGTCAAAAGATATACTGAGAGGATTGCAATTTGGGTTCATGAAAATGAAGTCTCTTGCTTACTGTACAAGTGTGAGACCCTCATATCTAGGACACTGAATTTTATAATTATACTAGCCAAATGCCCGTCAATGATGCGGTGGGAGGACGGGGAACATTCCTCAAAAGTTCCTTCACCGTCTCCCCCACAAATGACCCCTCTACCCCACAATCTAGTATCCGAGATGGTACAGGAAATGGTAGAGCATAAGAGATGGTGATGGTGAAAATGTTCCTATATGCAGGGTTTCTGAGGCCGTTGCTCTTCAGCTCATGTTGTGTAACCACTCAGAGCTGAAATAAATGCTTCAGTAGGGAATGAACTGAGAGGTAGTTGGCACCTTTTCTGTGCTGGCACTGCCACCAGTAGAGCATAAGAGCATAACCAGTAGCAGAGAGAATATTTTATGGGTGGTGGTGGGTGAAAGGCTAATGCAAACAAATCCTTTTGCACCGTCTTGTAACAAGTCAAGAGGTTCTGGCTCTTGGGACACTCTCAAAGTCCATGTCTTTGTTCTCAGGCAATGGCAGAGAAAAATAATCTTCCGAATCTCTGGGGGTTTTTTTTGAATATGCAGCTAATTCTCTACATATATTTTGCGCGCATCTATAAAGTATACATATAGCAGATGTCCAAGACTTCCCCATCTTTCCCTTGCTTACTGGAGGTCTCTGCTGTTTGCTCAGACAGAAGAGAGACTGCTTAAATAATTCAGAGAACTATGCAAGTAGCCCACCAGCTTGTGCACTCTAATTGGGTAATTAAGTTGCAGTGGTTTAAAGCAAGGAATATTGTGATGAAATAACTCTTGATAAATGCATGTGGAGGTTTTCCTTTCAGATTGGGAAATACTAATTAAGAAGTGTAGCCAAAGCACCCACTAGTGAGGACAGTTGTGAAGTCCTGGGGGTTTTGCATTACACTCCCAACCAGATGAGCCCTCAGTGCTGGGAAAATCTGTTGCCTTTTGCTTTATTTCTATTTAGCAAACACAGAAAAGGCTTTCTGCTTTTCCTTTGGTGCATTACTTAGTTTTTGACTAACATAAATAGCTATTCCAGGTTGGTATAGTGGGCTTGTGCCCCACATTCTACATATTAGAATAGCAATGGTGGAGGATGTGTCAAAATACTGTATGCCTTTTCTGGGTCCACTTTCCCAAGTGAACTTAGGCTCTGTGTATTTGAAGAGTTTCCTGTGGCATTTATGTTCTCTTTGCAGAAATATCTTTGCAAATGGCAGGAAGAAGCAAAAATTGAGACCTGTTTTTGTGGTGTTACAAATTTTCATCCCTCTTCTGCTTCAACTAGACACTTGGATTTAGGTTGAGAGTGTTTAACATTTTAAATGAACTAAAATCACATTTGAAACCTTGCTTTCAACTTACCAAATTTTATTCGATATAGGTTTTTGTACTGAGTTTTAAAAGGAAAATACAGCCCCTTTAATCTCCAATATATTTAAAAGCAGCAGAATTCTTTAACAGTGTTACTTCAGTGAGTTGTTTTTCTCAATATGTTGGGTTCATTTTAACCTTTGTGTCAGTATGTAATTGCATGGGTAAAGCCTTGGAACATAGTTAGCAAGTCTTGTTAAATTAAGTGGGCTGTGAGATTGTGAGTGTGAAGATATTCCTTCAAAACCCCTCTTCTGGAGCTAGGAATGGACAAAGTGGTCATTGACCTCTTTTGTCATTTGTGTGCTGGGAAAATGCCATGGGTTTGAAAACATGTCTAATCTGTTTGACTTCGACTTGTTACGATGATAAACATAACACCTAGTGTATCAATCATTTTTAGTGTTGCACTAGTTAAAATTTGCTCACATACTGTGTTTTCCCAGTGTGGACATGCTCTTTATTTAAAAAAAAAAAAAAGGCAGGGAAAAACCCCCCCAAACTGCACATTCTTATTCTATATAGATGCACCAAAAGCTGCCAGCTGCTTTGAATGCTATGCTTTTGTTTTCATGCATCTAACTTACTTGGCATTATTTTTCTGTGCTGTCTTTCAGAAAGATGAGGTGTACCTCAACTTGGTGCTGGACTATGTTCCTGAAACAGTATACAGAGTTGCCAGACATTATAGTCGGGCCAAACAGACACTCCCTATGATCTATGTCAAGGTAAGCAAAATGATCCAGAAATGTGGTGGTTAGATGAGGAAGGTCATCACAGACATTATGTTGTTTCTGGATACCTCTGTCCCAAAATAAAGAAGAAAGGCAAGGGGCTTGCTGCAGGTTTGTCACATGTTCCTTGAAGCTTGTGCAGCTTCAGACAAGGGAAAATTAAAGTGAATGGCTAAGTGCTTTAAATTAGAAGACTGGGTAAAAACTAGAGCTGCAGAAAGAACTTTCCAACTTCCCCTCTTCCTCCCAGCCCCCATTTAAAAAAAAAAAAAAAAGGGTCTGTCAAAAATTACCCACAGTACTAGGAAAAACTGACAGTAGTTAGGCTAGCAACCTTCTTGTGTCTTTCTCTGGTGCAAACACTATGGTACAAAAGCTTGGGACTAAAAGTGGAGAGGGAGGGGGAATATTATTCTGCCAGGAGAAAGGGAGGATGACTGGCAAGGGCCAAGTAAGAAAAGTTGGGCATCTCTTTAGTAGAACTGGAAGATGAATTTTTTGCTCTTGTGCACTGAACTTGTGTGTTGGATGTATTGCCCCAGAGGAAACTTGTTGTCTTATCAACTCCCTGGAAGGGTGGCTAGGCTAATAGAGCTGCACCAGTATGACCAAGGAAATAATTTGTAACGAGTCTTGGCACTTGTGAGAATTCCCTGTTGTACCACATAGTTTACAGACTACTGTAAAACTGACTTTTAGATGTCTTCACTATTTCATCCCTAAGGATTTGCACAAGCTTAATATCATATAATGAAATTTTGGTTACTGTGAAACATCGGATTCTCCCATGAATCTAGTTAGTGGCTTTCCTTACACCTTGTTCAGAATGCAAGTGAAACACTAGTGCTGCCCCTTGTGTTCTTTATACAGGTTTAGCTTAGTGCCCAGAACCTGACGGATAAACATATGCTGTCTTCTGTCCTAATTACATTGAAATGGCAAGTTTGCTATATTAAAACTTTTCTAATTGTTATAATTTTTTCCCAACCTGAACTTTAAATTCTCACGCTAAACTTTGGGTGTTGATTAAAGAGTAAGTAAGCTTTTATTTCAAGACAATGAAACCTATAAAAAGAAATTATTACAAGAGGAAATTGTTCCAGCCTAATTGCACTTGCATGAACTTTTAAGAGCTAAGTTTCAACACTAGCCTGTGCTGTAGTGAAGACTTGTATTCTCAGGGAAATGATGGTAACTCAGCCCCAAAGTTCTGTTGGATAAATCAGTGTATTTGGGCTGAGGTAAGAATTCTTGAAATTCTCTCTGAAATTTCCCCAGCTATTTGTATCTGATGTCATTAGACATTTTGAAGCATAAAGGATTTATAAATCCCCTTATTGGTGAAAACCACCCCTTGTGAGGTTTGGAGTTTTTTTTAGCTCCAGAGATTGTCAGCTGCTTATCAGCATCTGCTCTGAAACTGACAAGCTCTTATCAGTTTCTGGCCTCAAAACGTATCAGTTTTTTTGCACTTAGAATCTCACCGCTTTTATACCCAATAGTGGTGATCTTTCATGAGATTCTGCTCAAAAACATTACCAGAGTCTCCTCAAGAGTTGACAACAGTGTGTCAGTTTTAGCCCCTCCCCTTCCCCAGAATTGATTGTCTTGTTCCCTTGCCAGTTTCATTCTGAATTTTAGTTTCATGTCAGTTTCTGTCCTGAAATGTTGTCAATTCCAACCACAGATTTGAGGACAAGTCTTCACTTTGCCCACGAAAAAAACAGCCCTTTCTCAGTTTTGCCTATGAATGAGAAGATGGTGCATCAGTTTCTTCCCTGGAACATAATCAGTTTTGCCCAACATTTGTTTATCCCTCATCAGTTTCTCCGAAATGGACTTTTCCATCAGGTTCTGCCTCTGAGAAAGATGAACTCTCATTAATTCTGTCCCAAAATTTGTGGACACTGTCCTAAGTTTCTGTCCTGAGATCTCGTTACTTTCACATAGGATTTTGCCCTGTAACTGATTAATATATATTACCTTCTGTTTTTCAAATACATGAATGCTAGTTTTTTGGCCCCATCCCCCAAAATGATGAGACTTTCATGGTTTGACCTCAGAAACAATCTACTCATCATCAGTACCCTGTCCTGCAATCAAATTGGTTTAATCCCTAAAGCCAACAAGCCCTTGCTAGATTTTCCACTCAAATTGAGTGCCTCTATCAAGTTTTGCCCTGGAATTAGATGCCTCTCATAAGATTTTGTCCCCACTTTAATTATCTTCTTGTTTTCACTGCCAAAAATGATGATCCCTCCCTCCTTGTTAACTGATGAAGTAACCCTCTTTAATTCCTCCATTTATAAATAGGTGCTTCCTTGTTGGTTTCTCAGATGCCCCAAGATGAGTCCTCACCTGCTTTGCTCCCTCCCCAATTGACCACTCTGATTAAGTTCTGAAATGTGACCACCCCTCCTGATTCTGTGCTGAAATGGTTACATTTTCCTCCCAATTGATTACTTGGATAGTTTCTGCCTGAAATTGATCATCCTTGGCCTCTTTCTTCTGTGAAGACTTATCAGCAGGGATCCTGGACTTCTCTGTTTAAAAATCTCAAATTCTGTTATAAAAGTCCAAAATTCTGTGGTTGAAATAGATAGACATATCAGTTGAACACAATGCTTAATTGGTATATTTACAATTTTAAAGCAATTTGGAAGCCTACCAGTGCCTCAATCATTGTAATAAAATAACTTTTAAATACCTATATATTTTGGCATTTTATATGTTTTTTCCATGGAAAATCAGAGCCACCACCTGCCCCCTTCACTTGCCAGGATGTGGGCCCAGCTGGTTTGTGGTGCTAAGCAGCCCTGGTGTGTCAGTGCCCTGCCCATGCCATTGCCCCTTACTCTCTCCAACCCCCTGCTTTGGGGAACGTCTCCCAGCTGCCCTTATCCCTGCCTCTAAGAGCATGGGTACTGCACCCAGTGCTGCCAGCCCAGCTATGCAGCTACCTGTCATCTGCAAAGGGCCCACCCCTGCTCCCTTCCCTCCACCCCTTCCGCCCCCTGGTGGGCCCTACCGGCAGCAGCGTGGAGCCAAGCACTGCCTCAGATCCCCCCTGCCACAGCCCCAGTGCGTGGACACCTTCCCCCAGTGCCAGCAGGCACCATAGACTTACCTGTATCCAGCTGTCAGAGGTGCTTCCACCACCCTGCCTCGCTGTATGCCTGCCACGTGTGTGCGCACACGCAGCACCCCTTGCCTCCAGTTGCTTCCCACCCTCCTCTGGCCACTCCTCCCAGCCCCAAGCAGCTCCTTGCAGGCTGCAAGGAGAAACCCATGGTTTCCCACATTTTTTCCTGTGTTTTCTGTGGCAAACAGAAAGTCCGGATCTCTGCTTATCGATTTGACCACCAAAGGTGAGGACCTGTCAGGAGTTTCCCTACTAGTTGAAGATCCTAAAATTGGTGACTGTTTGCCAGTTTCAGTCCTGACGTAGACCATCCCTTTTCAATTTCTGTCCTTCTTTCCTCCTGTAATTGGCAACTCTGGCAGTCTTCTGTACCCCCAAATTTGGTAACACACACTTCTGTCTGCTTGGAAACCTTGTTGGCTTTGGCTATGAAGTATAAGACTGCATCAGTGTCTGACCCTCACTAACAGGATAAATGCTCAAGTTTTTGCTCCTGGAACTGATGACCCTTCATTTGCTTCTGTATCAGAAGTTTGCCAGTTTCACACTCTACCCCCATTTAAATCACTCCATTTTTCCCTTTGCCACTCTTCCCCCCCCATCGGCGGTTCTTCATTAGCGTTACTCCCAATATTGTTGACCCTTCATCTGTTTTTCTCCTTTCCTGAAAGTTCATGAGTTTTCTACCAGAATTGATGACCGATTGCCACACTTTGGCCCCTGTAGCCCTGTCCCCTTCTCCTCACTTTTGAGGAGTCTTAATTACTTTGGCTCCAAAATTTCCTAGCTGCTTGTTAGTTTTGCCCTGAAATTTTCTCTCTTCATCAGATTCTGGTCTTAAATGTCAGTTTCTCCCCAAAATAGATGATACTACATCACTTTCCTTCCTGAAATTAACTCCCCCCACCCTTTGATTCTGCCGTGAAAACTTGATCAGTTGCAGGCCACTATTAGTGAACTGTCACCATTTTTACTCAGAAAATCAAACCCCCTTGTTATTTTGGCCCTTAAAATTGCTGACCCATTATCAGTTTCACTCCCAAAATGGACCATCACTTGTTAATTTCTGCCATTAAGCATGATCTGTCCCCCCCTCCCCCAAATGGACATCTAGAGAGATTGATTGACCCTTCATCCAGTTCTGCTGTGAAACATCAATTCTGTGCCCAAACAAGCCACTCTTTCCCATGACATTTTTGGCCCCACACAGTAGATGACCTGATTCCCTCTTTGAGTTTCAGCTCCACTGCGTGTGCATCAGTGTTTCTTCATGTAATATAAGACAATGTTTCAGTTCTGGCCCCCAGAATTGGTGACCTGTCATTTATTTCTGCACTGAATACTCACTACCTTTATCTATTTTGCTCCTTAAACAGATAACCAGCATACGTCTCTGAAATCTTTCCAGTTTTGATACTGAAGTTCTTGGTAAATTGTCAGTCACCCCTGAAACTAATGACAGGTTGCCATTGACACCTCTGAAATTGATGAGCTTTTTCAGTTTCTGTCCTGCAATCTCATCTGTTTTGCCCCTGAAAGTGGCAGGTATTTGCCAATGTTGCCCTAGAAATTGATGACCGTTCCTCAGTTTCTGTCCTGAAATTTCATGTTTTGCTGCTGAAATTGATGACTCCTCACAAGCTTTGCCCTTGAAAGAGACAGGCCATTGTCAGTTTCAGCCCTGAAATTTACAAGCCTTTTCAGTTTCCACCTTAAAAATCTCATTAATTGTTGCCCCTGTGAAATTAGTGACCCATCAGTGGATCCTGACACTAATTCTTGTCAGTTTGTCCCTAACATTGATGAACTCTTGTGAAGGTGAAATTTACCCCTAAACTGACAGGCCTTTGTCAGTTCCTTTGCCTGAACTCCTGTCCCTTTTGCCCTGAAATTGGTAACCCTTTATCAGTTTTTTGTTTCAAAATCTACCCCGTCTTGCCTCTAAGTTATACAGAACTGTAATCAGTTTTTCTCTGAGAATTGAAGAATCTCATCAGTTTTGCTACCAAAGTGCATCAGCATCTACCCTGGAAATTGACAGTCTCCTTCCAGGTTTTACCCCCAGATTTGATGACCTATCAGTCTATGCCCTGAACTCAATGATTCATCATCAGTTTCTGACTTGATATTTCCCCACTTTTGCCCTGAAATTGTGACACTGCTAGGTTTGCCCCACAATATCAACAGTTTCTGTCTCTGAATTTTACAAGCTTTTAACAGTTTTTCGCTCTGAAACCTCTTTGGTTTCATTCCCCAAATTGATGATCTTCCCTGGAGAAACTTGTCAGTTTCAGCCCCCCAAATTGATGAGCCTCTATTGTTTTCATTTACAAAATGACAATTTTAAAACTATTTAAGCCCTGAAGTCTTTGTCAGCTTTGTCCCATTCTACCTGTTTTGATGATGCTTTTGATCTCTCAGCAGTTCTGGTCTTGAAATTCACAATATCTTGTCCATCTCATTCCTAAAATCCCTCATTGGTCATTATTTTCATTCCTTAAATTGATGATTTCTTCAGGTTTACTTTTGAAATGTTACTGGTTTCAGATATTCCATCTGGTCCATTTTTTTTCCCATGGATCGCATCAGTTACTGTTCCCAAACTGACCATTTCTCATCTGTTTGTCTGTAAATACTTTCCATTTCAGCTCTAAAAATCAATTCTCTCTCTAATCTGTTTTGGCCTTAAAATCAACTTTCACTAAAATTTGTAATACTGTCTGTTCTAGCCCTAATGGATAATCCCATCATTACACTGCTAATATGAACTGCCAAATTTGGAAGGTTTTATTCTTCCCCTCTCTCTTAGCAGGCAAATAGCTTGCACAGCGCACAGTAAATAGTTATAGACGGAGAATGGGGCATGGGTATGGGCATAGGAAGGGAATCACTGGGGAGGAGGCGATGGAGATTTTAAAACCTTCTCAGTCTTAGGTTCTGAGCGCCTAAAATTGGGCTTGTCACAGAAAGCCTGAAAACAAAAAGATAAAATAGCCCTGTTTCTGACAGATTTTTTTTATGATGTCCAAATTGCTAGCCCAGTGAACGATCACTGCTAAATTGAAAAAATGTCCACTGCCATACCAGCCCTCTGCTTTTTTATTCTGCACATTCCCAGAAATGGCTGCTTCCATCTCAGATCAAGGAGTCTTATACTTTTATCAGCAAGTATAAACATTCTTCTGTGTGCTAATGGCAACTAAAAATATTTAAAAGCCATGGAATTCAAACAGAACCTTGACAGCAGCACTGTCTGCACCCTTCTACTTTTTTTTTTTTCCCCTTACAGTGATGTTTTCAGTCAGTATGCCAAGTTCCATCCATGGAGATTTTGAGGATTTTTGTAAAGTACTGTTCCTGATTTAAACTTTCTGGAATTGCCTTATTTTTAAACTGCCACCGATCACTGGGATGCATGCATGTAGGAAGAAACGAGCAGTATCTCTTGTTCCTGCCATACTCAGTCAGAGGTGTCAGTTTGGTGCATATGATTCATTACTGTTGTATCAGTTTTGGCATCACTGAGTGAAGCAGTGGAAGGCAGGAGGAGGCTGGTTACAGAAGAGGAAACTTCAGTTTGCAAATATTGTAACGCCGTGATCATTTCTAATGAATAAAAAACTTAAGGATGCGCACAAGGTTGTTTAATGGTGTCCAAATGAAATATTTCTCCAAAAATTGCCTGCATGGGGTTGATACTTACAGCATCCCCTTTGGGTGTTCGTGCCCAAAGCAGCACAATTACTGCGGGATGCTTATGGCATAGAATAGTCTCTCTTCCCTTCCTTAGTTTTTCAGTGGCCCAGTGCTGCTACTCAGTAAGCTGACTTTTGACAGAAACATGTTGGCACTCACACTATGCACCCTACAGCTGCAACTGCATCGGTGCATTCTGGAACCAAATATGAGCCAGCAGTGTGCCCTTGTTACCCAGGAAGCACTAACAGCATACTGGGCTGCATTGGTAGGAGTGTTGCCAGCAGATCAAGGGAAGTGATTCTTCCCCTCTGTTCAGCAGTGGTGAGGCCACATCTGGAGTACTGCTTCCAGTTTTGGGATCCCCCACTACAGAAAGGATGTGGACAAATTAGAGAGTCCAGCAGAGGGCAATGAAAATGATTCGGGGGCAGGGGCACATGACTTGGGATGAGAGAATGAGGGAACTGGGCTTATTTAGTCTGTAGAAGAGAAGACTGAGGGGATTTAATAGCTGCCTTTAACTACCTGAAGGAGAGTTCCAAAGAGGATGGAGCTGGACTGTGCTCAGTGGTTACAGATGTCAGAACACGGAGCAATGGTCTCAAAATGTAACAAGGGAAGTTTAGGGTAGATATTAAGAAACTTTTCTCATAAGGAGGGTAGTAAAACACTGGAACAGGTTACCCAGAGAGGTAGTGGAATCTCCATCTTTGGAGGTTTTTTAAGACCCAGGTAGACAAAACTTTGGCTGGGGTGATCTAGTTGGGGATGGTCCTGCTTTGAGCAGGGGGCTGGACTAGATGATGTCCTGAGGTCCCTTCCAGCCCTCATTTTCTATGATTCTGTAATTCTATGATACTGCAGCGCTTATTCCACAGTACTTAGCTCCACTACTGGGAAGCAAAGTCTTTGGGGCTATTTTGAAACATTGAAGCTCACTAGTCTATCTGGATGTGTTTGGAAGAGCATCCCAGGCAGGACAACCAGCTGAGGCATCCAGTTCTAGTAACTTGGCTAGGGTGGTTGTGGTATTGGCACCATATAGCAACCTCTGGGTTCTAATAAAGTTTGTGGTGATGCCCTTTCCATGTATGATAGGTAGGATTGGAAAATCCTAAAACTGAAGTACCTTTCTGTACTGTGTTGTTTCTAAGACTGCTTTCATTCTTTGTAGAGTTAGCTCTGATTGCTGAACTGCTGTCATTGAATTTTTCTTTAGGAATAAAAGATTTAAAGGAGTAAGAAATACACAATAAATTAACTGACTTTAACAGATAGAAGCGTTGGGGTTGCGTGGGAGGGAATTAATGTAGGTCAGCTCCTGTCTCTTACCCACCTTGAACATATTGCTTTAAATTCTGTCTTGTTATTTTATGTACTTTAAAAAAAAAAAATCAGTGAATTGCAGAATTGGCTGTGGTTTTCTTTATAGGGTTGTTAGTATGATAATCTCACCTGCCATCCACCCCCTCTTGTTTTTGTGATTAGGAAATTGTACATATTATATAACGTGTCTGTGTTGTGTTTCAGTTGTACATGTATCAGCTGTTCCGGAGTTTAGCCTATATCCATTCCTTTGGAATCTGCCATCGGGATATAAAACCACAGAACCTCTTGCTGGACCCTGATACAGCTGTTCTAAAACTCTGTGACTTTGGAAGGTAAATTTGTCTCTTTATGTTCCAAATGTGTTTAAAATTCTCTTCCAAAACTTTATAATCTCCATTTTTTAGCTATTATATAAATAATTTACAGAGGAAAAAGTGTTGCAAGAAGTTTCAGAAAGTAGTAGACTTCACGAGACCAAAACCAGGAATTGTGCAGATATACAAATACATTTTTTTTCCTATATGAAAAACAATGAAGCTAGAGAAGAACAGGTAGGGACAGATTTGATTACTGAGTGATGGTTGGTGTAGCATAGTGCTATAAAGTACCCCCTGGATCTGTCTCATTTGCACATATGTATACCAGCCCCCATAAAATGTTGAACGCCTCAGCAGAAGACAGGAGTTTATCAGACATTTTTGTGGTACATATCTAAATCCATATCTATCGTGGCACATGGCTTTCTTTATCTGTGGAACAGAACTATCACTAGGTACCTTGTATCAGTTAAAAAGCTAACCAGCCATTTCTTGACTTGAGCAAGATTGTTTAACATAGCAATTCTGAAAATCAAAGCAGGATCAGAAAGCTGCTTCCTTTCTGGTGGAGTCCTTTCCTGAGAACGCCCTAGAACTTTAGATGACCAAAATAAGTTGGAGGGTATTGTGAGAGGTCATCAGAGTGGCTATCAGTGAAGTAGCTTGACTATAGTAAGCTGGAATATCAGAGGGTGATCCATACCTTTACATGTGGCATTCAAGAATCCTCTGCATTTGGAACAGGAAACTTGAAATAAAGCAAATGACTCTACAGTTTGAAATACAGGTTAATACAAAGAAGCAATTTTGATGTAAACTTTTAACTGATATTTAGTTCTGTATGATGCCCAATGGGAACATTTAAGGATTCTAGATAAGGTAAATGTGGAGGTGAGGAGACCCAAAAATGCTGGGAATGGGATGCTTGTCAGTGTAGTTGAGCAAGAAATGTGTTTGCTTCCATAGTGCCAGGTCTCCAGCTCTTGATTCTGCAGTGCTTTTTAATGATGACAATCCAACCCAAAAAGGTTATTCATAAGACATGAACTTCTCTTTAAAAGATAACAATATGTGATTCTAACTCCAGAGCAGAAAACAATGGTGAACTTCAAGGCAAATCTAGGGAAATGCTGTTTTAAAAATTGAAGTTATCCAAGTCTGTTTATTAGATCCTACCCAAAACTAACCAATAATTGTAATTTAATAGCAAAATACTCTAGAACCATGCAGGTAAAGTCAGTACATTGGTTCTGGGCTAACAGACAACCCTGAAGTGCATGCTAGCCCAAGATTAACTGTGAGGAGTGTTCATATAGCAAGAAGTTTCTGGAAGAGACATGAAACAATCAGTACAGGGAGAACTGAGGGATGGGTTGGCAGGGAGAAAGAAAATACAAAAAGTCAAAACTCTAGAATGCCATCCATGACGAGTATGCAAATGTCACTATTCAGTAAAATGTTTCAGGCTTCACTAAAATCCATTTTCAGGAGAGAAAGTTTCTACATAGAAAATTATTTCAAATCCCCGTTATCTCAAAATATAAATGTTTGGTCTCATCCATGTAAGGATGGCTATAGAGACACCATACTGGTAATACTAGTTTGGTATACTGCCATGTGAGATGATCCATTTTTGGATCTGAGTTCGTTTCACTACTGCTTGGTTTGACTTATGGTTGTGCTGTGCAAAAAGATGCTGGAGACAGTTCAGCTGTGTTCATTTGTAATCAGAGATGTGGGTTTTCTGGAAAATTTTGAATTGGAAAATTTTCCAGCGCTCTAAATAGAGCGTGATCTGACTTATTTGACTTATATTTAGTAAACAAAACTAAAAAGTACCCCCATGTTAATTGTATGTCCCAATAGCCACGAGTATTTAAACTGAAATATTTGATTAGGAAAAAAATTAAACACAATGCACTTAATGTGGTTTAAATGTTATATTCAAACCAATTCAAAGCTTTATGTGGAAAGAAATTATTTTTATTGGAATACTTGTAAAAATGCAAAGACAATACACAATACCATGTACTTCCCTTACATTGTTTTTTTAAATTTAAGAAAAAAAAACAACGGCACTGAAAACTTGAAACACATATCATGCACACCCAAAGAATTCTGCATGATATGCTATGGTTGTCCACTCATCTACTTCTACTGAGGTCATTGCGGCACCTCCAGTTTCACTGTCATTATCTGTAGAATCATTTGCACTACTTATTAGTTCCATTTCAGAATCAGATTGAGGCAAATTGTTACTAATTGATTTTATGAAACAGTGACTTTTTACAAATAGAAAACGTCCCGCGGTAAAATAAAACATTGGAAAATTTTTCACAGAAAATTTTCTGCCCTGCATCTCTGTTTTGTAATTGTTTCAGCTGAGTGTTGTAAATTATCTGAAACGTTGTCTTGCAAAGTGTTGGGTCTTCAAGCAGCAACTTCACTTCCTTACCCCGTAAAATCTTACCGAGCTATATAAGCTGACGTAGTAAGTATAACATATGGTAGGGGTGTTCATCTTCTCACATTGCAGTTGAACCTTCCTGAATTCCTTTTGGTTTGCTCTAGTGGGGTTGGTTTCCCCAGGTGACAGTTGCCACTGCTGAGGCAGTTCTGTAGAAGATTGGGACCCCATTGTAGCAGGCATTGTGCTGTGTAGGCTGAGCGCTAGTGCAGAATTCTGTTTCCTTTTGTGCATGTACATGGCAACTTTCTAGCCACATAGGTAACGCTTTTGGCACTTACACACAGGTAGTGACTCTGTTCTATGGATGTGTAAATGCATGAGCATGTACTTCAGGCAACACACTGGCTAGGGGCAGGTATTCTGTTACAGGCTTACTCCCGTTCTGGACATGTAAATGCATACAAGTCAAACACGTATCTTGTCAGAAACCCATCATTAGCAGTGCCCCCCCCCCCACTGTATTTTAATCCCAGTAGCTCTGTGTGGTTAGCGCACTTGCCCAGGAAATGGGACAGCCAGGCCACCTTTGCCTAGAAGAAGTTTAAACCTCTCTCTGATTTCCCATCATATAACTCAACCCCCACTGTGTAACAGGTCAGACATTATCCTGCTCCTCTCTGGCATTATTTTGAAGCTGAGCCACTGCCCCTCATATTTTAATAGTCATTGGATAAGAAGGATTGAGGGGAATGCAGAGTGGAAATTTCTGCCCCCTCAGAAGCAAAGGGTCCAGGACCTGCACCATCCCAGAGAAGCAGCCTGTCACTGAGATGTACCCAACAGCTTGTTCTTATCCTCCTGGCTCCACATATATCCATCTCTTGAATGCTCAGGGGAGGCAGCTTAAAAATAGGAGGCCTCCTTTCCTCCTCTCCTCCCCTCAGACGTAGGCCTGTGACGAACGTTAACACAATGGTGCATTTTGGATCAGAGTAGAGGAATTTTGTTTCATCCCAAATATCATTCATCCTGCAATGCCAGATCTGCATGCCACAATACACAATGTTTGGGAAGGGGCATAAAATTCCTCTGGTCCTAATCATGCAATGGCTGGGATCAACATGAAACCTGGGGCTGTCCCCTGCCTGATCCTGGGTATTGGGAAGGGGTGACTTTGTTCTGGACCCTGGACTTATCCCCAGCCCAGTCCTGTGAATGGGGAAGGTGATGGGGGTGGAGAGGGCTGTGTCCTTGCCTCGGATCAAGTTGGGGAGGCCCTGAGTCTCTATCTGGGCCCCAGGGAAGCTCTGGATCTGGGGCAAATGCTACACATTCAGTTTAAGGTGTAGTACACACCAGGCACAAAAATATTCTACATTAAATGTGGAGCATCTTTGTGTGTGGTTTGCCATTTTATTAGGCCATCAATTGCTGAACATGTGGCACTTTCATATTATGTTACAATTTACGCGTATGTACTTTCATGTTCACGATGTAGAGGCAGAGCCAAAAACACCCTGGTACGCAGCTAGAAAACTGCCATTTAGGCAGTTCAGTAAATAGAATTCAGTAAATAGAATTCTAGCCTTAATGCTAAAAAGGGCAGAGCCCAGCCAGGTGCCTACTCTCTCCAAGCACCCTTCTTTCTCACCATATCCCTCTTATTGTGTATTGGGCCTTCTGAAGGTAGCAGAGGGATTCTGGTATGAGTGAATAAAGAAGGTATTTGGGTTTTGTTTAGTGAGGAGAAGGGGCTTTTAAAAACTAAAACAGACATTTGAAGGATTCATATCTACCTTACCTTTTACCTTCTGACTAAATTAGAAGGGGCTATATTCCCTCTCAGGGAGTATAAATGTGTCCCTAAATCAGGGTCATCTGGCCCACAAGGGGTTATTGTGAAGCCCACAGCTCCTGCCCAGCTGCTGCTCCTGCCCGTTGTGCCTGCTGCTGTGGTGGCTGGGGTTTCTGGGCAGAGCAGCATAGCAGGAGGAGCCTGGTGAGCTTGCTGACTGCATGGCAATGCTGAAGGGGAGGCTTATGCTGCCCACACCACAGGGAGTGCAGGTTATCACTGCCCACATGGTGGCGAGATGGGTCTTGCACAGTGGGGTTCCCAGGGAACCCATGTGGCATGTGCCCCCCCCAACAGCTGCTCTTAAGTTGGACAGTCCTATGCTAAAAAACCTTTATACCCAGCAAATTTGTTTTGTATATGCTACTGGCAGTGAAAGCTCTGGACCTGTTTTTCTGCTGGATTGTACTCAAAATATCTTTGACATGTCCACTGTGACCTCATGAGGTAGCTGTTTGATGGATTAACACTAAGTAGAGTTTGTATTTTACATCTGTGTGGTAGAAAACAAGATTCTGGAGTTTGGAAATGAGTGAGAAATAGAAATAAGATGGAAATCACTGAAAGTTATCTATTTTGCTTCCTCCTTAGTGCAAAACAGCTGGTTCGTGGAGAGCCTAATGTCTCTTACATCTGCTCTCGGTACTACAGGGCACCAGAGTTGATCTTTGGAGCCACCGATTATACCTCCAGTATAGGTACGTATGAATACCTTTGAGTGTATTGAACTGTCCGTATTGATTGTACAGGTTTTGATCACTTCTTGACAATGCTGTACATGTGTTCTGTCCTCAAACAGCTTAGAAATATGACCTGGTTGTGGGTTGGGCATGGTTCCTGCATGAAAACCATCTGACTTCATTTTTCTCAAGATTTTCTAGCATCTGGACTTCAACTTCAGAGTGGGTTGGGTCAGTCAGGGTTATTCTGTTTTGGCTAAAACTTAAACATCAAACACATTGTTTTCCAGCTCTCCAAATAGTTTCCCTGCATAGCTTCAGAGTAGGCACAGGAGATTTCTAACTAAGGCATTTTTGATAGTTTAAAACAACCATTAAAGTAGGAATTTAGAAGTGGCACCTCAAATACTGCTCTTGGTATGCTGCAAAAGAGAGAGAAAAAAGTACATGCACACATACATGCACATAATTTTCCATCTTTTTGTTTCCTTGGCTTGTGTTAATTGTTTTTAACAGGAATGCAAAAGGAATTGAGTGGTTGCTCTTAGCAGTCTCTTGGCAAAACTATAGGCAGGATTTGTGTACTTTGTGGGATGTTTAACTATGAAAATGATTAATATAGTCCATACTGTAGCCTCTGGTGTTTATTTAGATATTAAATTTGGCTTATTTTGTGCTGCCCTCATACTTATTGTTTTAATTTATTTAATAGATTATGCACAGCTACATCCTAGACTTGTTAGGGAAACTGGAGGTTTTGGAATAGGTAGGGTCACTTGGAGCTGCTTGTAACTTTGGTGAAATAGGAGGTGCAG